GTACCTGACCAAGGGGTTTGACGCTCACATTGAAGAGGCGTCGTCTCGCACCAAATTGGTTTCTTTTATCCCGAATCCTTTGAATTTCTCTTTGCTGGCCACACACCTCAGAGTTTTGGGGGATCGCCTCTGTTATCTGCACACAATGGTGATTCAACCCAGTCAGATAGATCACTTGAGAGAAAAATCCCACAACAAAGATGGCGCAAAAATCACGATATTGCTATGGAGCAAAGACATAGATGATCGGACAACTTTGTCCGAGGTTGTCCGATCATTTCGCGCTGTTCAATCCAAGTAAGCATAACTCACCTTCCTGTTATAGGAAAGGTCGAGCGTTTCTAGTAGGCCAGAGTTCTCCAGTATGCTGATCACACCCTCATCACTCACTGGTCGACATCTTAACAACTTCAAGCGTCGAAGTCGAGGAAGGTTCACGGCGAGAAGTGACAATCCTGTATACGGGTCACAGCCTGTGCCGGACCGTCTCTACCCTGTCCCCGTTGTGTCTCTGGCGTACAGCTCGCAGTATCTTTAAGCTGTGACGCTAGTTGATTCGTGAGTATTTCATAGAATTATTAGAACTCCTATATTGGTTACCTCGGCTCTATTTGGGTCAGTGTTAACTTAATCTAGTGGGTTTGGCATATTTGGTACCCGATGCTTCAGAGCAACACCATTAAACATTTATTTGATGAGTGTCTACCTATTAGCTTCAAGTTGGTTGGGTTGGAGGAAGATTTTGCATCAATTGAAGCTGCTACTACTTCTGCTCAACATTCTAAAGCTGTGAACGCTTTGAATCAAAGCCTTTGATTGTTGCTATTGATGATAATCTTGGGTCTATAGATGAGAAGGAATCCCAGAGCTCTATCGCCGATCGTATGAAGCAATGCTTAGGTTGGGCTGTGTTCGTGGTGGAAAGCTTGGCTCCTGGTTTCGATGCTATGTGTGAGTTAACAATTCTACTAGCTGTACGCCTTTTGCAACGACGTGCTGGTATCTCTCGTTTTCCAGTTGGACTTGACCTTCCGAATGCTCGTGAAGTACAATTAGAATATGTGCGAGTTCGCGCCTCATCTGATAGTGGTTCCGATGAAAAGTTAGTTTCTTCGAAGGATTCTAGGGCAATTAAATTGGCCTATGAGTTGCCTCCATCGGCTGTCTTTAAACCCGATGATCGGACCTTTCCTTACCATTTATAGAAGGATATGAAGCTACAGTTGGCGGCTATGCGATTGCAGGGTGTAACAGCCCTCCACTATGTTCTTCGCGCAGTATGCGATTCAGTTCGTCGAGAGCTTTGGGGTATTATCCAATCTCCAGAATGTATTCGCGACTATGTGGCTACGATTACTACACGAAAAGTAGATGATGAACACAAAACGAAAAAAAGAACGAAAAAGATGATAACCCTGAAACTGAAAGACGGATATGACAAAGGAGTTGCGAAATTAGAAAGGCAATGAGAAGAAGATGCCGAGATGGTAGTACCATGTCGGCATATGCCCGACAGTACCATGATGGTACTGTCGGGATGACTTGAGAGTTTTAGTCATTATATCGCCAACGAGGAATATAATTGACGCGATAAAAGTTCAGGCTAAAGGATGAATGCGTCAATGTCCTCGAGCACAGACAGAGCTTTTCACCCAGTCGGGCATAACGGGGCTCATCTCACGACTGGAAAGGATATTGCACGGACCTGCACATGATATGCAGCAACCTTGAGGACAAAATGTGCGCGGTTTGAACTATGGTTTAGCTTGAATCGCGCATAGTCACTATGCGTTACCTGGTTTGTTCCCGGTTCGCTCGATAAAGCCGAAGCCTCCCACTCCCCAAGACTCCCCCCAGGTGTTCATGATTTTCCAATATCTAGGACAAATTAACCAGCAGGAGTTACACCGGTACATTGCACTCACGGTATTTCGGGTTCTTTTGAAGTGCCATACCCAACGATGATCACGTCATGGTTTGGATCCAACGCTTTACAGTCCTTGGCTACAAGGTTGGGCAGAGATATGCTCGACAACATCGAGTAAGTTCCCACCCGTTATGATGCCTCCGCTGTAATGTCTGAATCCGGGAGCCAAAGCAGACATTCTGGCCACCACGGGCCCGATTGCCACATTCTTTATCATAGCTTCTTCATCAGCTGGCGGTATGTTCACTGCTTGACGGAATTGCCCAGGCTGAGAAAAATCAGAAAGGCTCGAACGGTTGAGGTCAAACCACATCTGCTAGATTGCTCGACTTCATCACTTCGATTCTTTCACGCGCCTTTTGGACGAAGTCTCTCCAGGCGATATCTCCTCGACGAAGAGCATTAATATGATACATTCATGTGGCACAGGAACTTGCATTGCATGAAAACCTCAGATATTCGCTCACGACAGCTGCCTCACTTTCAGACACTGCTGCTTCGCATCAGTGGTGATTGATGTCTTGCACGATCCAAGCTTAGCCTCATAAGGGTAGCTGGCATCTTTAACGATACCATTCCCCATGACATATTTATATGATTGCCTCCGTGAACCTCCAATGCAACCTCTGAAGAACACTGAGTCGCAATGACTATGAGAACACGTACAAGATGGATTCCTTATCGAGGATCCACGCTCAGACAAAAGTATCGTCGTCGACTCACTTATTGCCATATGGCTGACTGCAGTCGACAATCTGTTGAACTGAGAATGGGACGACTTTGGGAATCCCAGCCTGTATTTTGAAACGG